CTTCAAGGTAAGCCCGTAGATATATCTAATGACTAGAATGTTCATATAGGTCGTTTCTACATTCATAAATGGTCATTCGGTTGAGTTTTGTGTTGACATGTTTGAAGAACCAAGAATCATAAACCTTGAATTTGATGTTAAAAATATGTTTTAATAATTCTAATATGATCTATGAACCTTGGAGAACATCTCTATATAGTTTAATTGAAGTTCGGTGACTAAAAATGGTTTTCCCGAAAAATGGACCGAGGTTGAAGACGAATGAACAGTGGCTAAAAATCCACAGAGTGGATCGATCCCCTTCATTGGATCGATCCTCTGGGAGTTTTTCTTCTAGTTGGATCGATCCAGAGGGCTGGATCGATCCTCCAAAACTCTGGTCCGAAAATTTGTCTGAAATTGCTATTTTTGAGTTCTAAAATCCTATTTTTGATACCAATTGATTATTATTATTATAAAAATGATTTTTCACAACAAAAATGATGTTTTTAACAAATTAAAACATTATGTGATGCATGACGGTAAGTTCGGGTGTTAACACTCGGGATTAGGCCGCTAATTGTTATTAAATGTTATGTTGAATGATCATTATGATGAACTATTATTGTGGCCAATTATGAATGATTAAACTATTGATTAGTATGATTATTGATTAAATCATGATTAAAAATGGATATAATGATGATTATGAAAATGATGTATATTGTTAAGGATATCTAGAATAACTCTAAGATATACCCACTTGTATAATGATGATGATTATTAAGGATATCTAGAAGAACTCTAAGATATACCTCTTTGACCAATTCATATTTCGGGGTTAAAACGTATGTACGGGATCCAGAACGGATATCACCCACCCGGCAGTTCACTGTTCGGTTGGTACGTAATCCACATGACTCATAGGGTGGATTATCGATTCTTGTGTTCTGCATTAAACTATTTATAGTTTAAGGGCCTGGTTAGAAATGTTGCTTTAGACTAGGAATAGTTAAGAGTTGTTATGAAATGATTTGGCCTTAGATTAAGAATAATTTAAGAGCATTGTTGAGATATTGAATATCAAATGACTTGGAATAAAATATTGAGAATATCATGAATGTTTGAATTATATATTGTGTGCATGATATCAAATGGTTGATTATGAATCGAGATTCAATTTATGTGGATGTTCG